TTCTAGAACGCAAATTCCAAACCACTGCGTATTCTACCTTTTTTATGTGCTTCGTTTGTGTCTTTTCTCAATAACATTTTTTCTGAATAGAAAAGTAATTCAAGTTCATGATAGGCATTTTGGAAAATTTAGGAAATCATAAGGAAGAAAATAAAAATCATCTACAATCAGGCCACTCAGTAAAGTCACTGTTAAAATTTTGACCATAGAACCCCGAGTCTTTTCTCTTTTTGTCTTTCTTCCCCTCCCCAAATCCCCTACCAGTCTTTTTTCTTAAAAGCACACATCTTCCACACAGGTGGGAGCTACTTCCCACGCCCCTGAACTAGAAGTGTCCCTTCAAAAGCAAGTAATCATTTGGGAGAAGAACGTTTGGACTTGAGTGATAGCTACATAATGGTATTTCTTCACTTTGAAGAGAGCCCTAACCACTTGGGCTCACCTAACATATATTTGACTATCTGGTTTCTGATGTAGGAAAGACGTTAGGGTTTGAAGTTGACAGATGAGAAATAATTCTTGAGACAACTTTGGTGCAAAAAAGTGGTTTTATTAAAGCATGAGGACAAGTCATGCAGGCAGAGAGAGCTGCACTGGGCTCATGACTCAAGTGGCCCATTATGTACTTTCAAGTTGGGGGGCAGGTGCTTAGGGAGAGTCTAAGTCTCTAAGGAATTTTGGAAGCAAGTTTTCCAGGACCTTGAGGGAGCTAGCTATCATTGGGAAAATATAATTTATTACTGTCTAATAAAGCCTTAGTCATGAGAGCCTTCAGATGAATATCACTGGGTCATATGCTTGAGGATGATTGCCAACATGTATCTTAGGTGGGGAGAGGGTAGAGATAAAAGAAGTTTCCAAAGGAATTTTTATATGTTTTTTTAAAAATTTTTAAAGATTTTATTTATTTATTTGAGAGAGAGCAAGAGATTGAGAGAGCACAAGCAGAGGGAGTGGCAGGCAGAGGGAGAGGGAGAAGCAGGCTCCCTGCTGAACAAGGAGCCCCAATGCAGGGCTTGATCCCAGGACCCCGGATCATACGTTAAAGTATATTTACAGGATCCTGGGGGTTGGGCTAAGATTGCATCTTGCCCTTAGTGAAGTTGTTAACATCGAGGCAGCTGAGCTCCTTGAGGTATGTCATCCTGCCCATTTCAAGGATTTCTCAATGGGCTATAGGTAGTAAGGAAACTCAGTAATTTTTCTTCTGCCTTTGTTTCCCACATCAGTTTCCACCTAGTTGGAATATCCATTCATCAGGGATACTGATCCTCTCCACAGCTCAGGGCAAACCCAACTTACCTAAAACCTGACCTTCATTGTAAGCCCACTCTCCTTCTCAGTGATCAGTTTATAGGTGACCAGGGAGATGAGAAGAATATGGGATCTTCTGGGACAAATTCTTTAATCCTAAGAGAGACACACAAGACAAAAATGGTATCTTAAATGGTATCTGAAATGCTATTCTGTGTGGATTAATGCCTGGAATTGCAAAGTTATTTTAGGAGATTGAGAGAAGCTAGCTGGAGAATAAAGTCCAAATCACCTTCATTGATCCAGACAGAATATTCTAGAAGACCTCTAGCAAGACACAAGAAACCAAGAGACACAAAATACACTGTTGTAAGAGCAATTTAAAGAAAAATATGTATAGTATGATCCCATTTCTATAGCCAGATAGATATATAAACATAGAAAAGGGTCGGGAGTAGACTCCAGAAGGATATACACCAAAATATTGGCAATGGTGACCTCTGCCAGCCATGTGAACCAGGGTTTCAACATTTTATTCTATATATATTTGTATCGCTTGAAGTTTTTATGGTAGCACGCATATACGTCTTGCTTATGTAATTTTTTTAACATTTTAATTTTAAGAAGCATATATGGCTTCCCCTTTATTTGAAACTTGAATTAGAAGCTCAGAGCATTCTTCTTTAAAAAAAAAAAAAATGTGGTCAAAAAATTCTTCAAGTTATTTTCAGTTTCTAGGGGGATCCTCTTCATCTTAGAGCTCAGCGCGCCTGCTATTAGTCAGTGGACCTTACTTTCCCATAGGAAGAACCACAGGGAGATCACAGCTGTGATCTCTGGGTTCCCTTTGCTTGGGGCCAGGGTGTGGATTGTAAAGCGGGACAAAGTGACAAACCTCTTCTGTGAAATCAGGACAAACCGAGTCTGGCTGACATTACAAGGGCGCTGGAGGGCCTTGGGAGTATCCGGAGATAGAACAGCCAACACTGTGTCTGGAGTTGGGCAGAGTGGGCAGAGTTGGGCAGAGTGTCTCAAAGTGCGGGCCACGGTCCCCACATCAGAATTACCTGCAAGCTTGCTAAAGGGCTGGTTCCTGAGCCCCACCCCCTGATCTACTAATAATCTCTGAAGGTAGGGCCTGAGAACCTGAATTCTTTATTGCCTGAAAGAAGACTTTCTCCGTGGATAAACTGGACTCATCAAAATCCTCCTACGGGGCCCCATGTGGGGCTCTGTGCGCGGCAGGGAGTCTGCTTCTCCCCCTCCCTCTGCCTGCTGCTCCCAGGGCTTGTGTTCTCTCTCTCTGTATCAAATAAACAAATAAAATCTTAAATAAAAAAAATTGGTCCTGTGGGGCAAGTGTGGGTTCTTGTTTCTCATCCTGGCTATCTGGATGCTCAGAGGCAAATGAGGGGCTCAGCTGGAGCCTCCGGGTTTCCCAGCTTGAGGACCATCAGGAGCTCTATTTCTGGCTCCTCGCACTAATTCTGTCACTCAACTTCTATGTCCCCTAGCAAGCTACCAAAAGTCTTCCTGGGACAGGCAGGATAAATAAATCGGTCGATAAAGCAGCCATTTATCAAGCACTTAGCCAGGATGCTGTGCTAGGTGCACTACATCTGACCTCATTTAATCTCACAACAAACCGAAGATCAGGTACTATGATTAAACCCATTTTACAGGTGTGGGGACGGAGCCTTAGAGAAGGAAGGTGCATCGTAGGGGCTGGAACTCAGGTCTCTAACACCAAAGTCCATGCTCTTAAACACCTGCCACTACTTGTCCATGGTGTAGATGAAGAGTAGTGGTCCTACACTTTCCACGCAGGACCAGTTCTGCAATCTGAGTGGAAAGGGGGGTGCTTACTTTGAAGTTTCTTTTCCATAACTAGCACATTATTTTTACTTTCATTTTTATGTCCAAACCAGTTTTTTTCTTACATTTTGGAGATGTTTTTATGAACACATTGGTAAAATGTTTTTGTCTTCTTTGTCTGATTTATACACCTGTGCGTGTATGTGTGTATGTACTTATGGAAGGTCACAGAAGGGCTCACCTCCAGTGATGCAGCCACTATAAATGAGTTACTGAAACTATCTCAGGTCAATTTTATAATAAGTTTTCCATTCAGTAATCTCTGATGATTTGTTGGGGGTAATAAATACGTTTTTACAGAAAGAACTCTCGCAAGTTGATACATATTTTAATCGATGTATGTGTGTGAGTGTATATGTGTATCATGTAACAACGAAAATCGATCTGCGGAAAGGTCCCTTCCCCATCATGGTCTAGCTATATTCCTCAGAGGTGCCCATCGTAAAAAGCAAAAGTGCACTCGGACACACACACACACACACACACACACACGGTATCATACAACCAAAATACAATTCAACTTACTTTGTTCATATCTACATATGTCTTGTCTTGGATACAGGAAGCCTTGCTTTCTTAAGTTGAGAAGACCCTCTTTTTCACTTGAAGCCCACACGGCAGAGGAGATGGGAGAGGGCGCTCTGAGCTGTCTCAGCCGTCTCCGCCCAGCCAGAGCAGCAGGTGGGATAACCAGTGGGACTGCCAAGTCAGCAGCACCCGCCCTCTCTGGATGGGACAAGCGGAGGAAGTGTGCGGTTGGGAAGCTCCGCCGCTCTCGCCCTGGTTTCCAGTTCTCCCGCCCGCAGAAACTACAGAGAAAGTTAGCATGGGAATCTGCGCCCTCCTGAAACTCTGCGGGACCCCAGGAACTTCCCACACCGCGGGGACGAGGGGCCGCGCGCGGTAACGGAGATGTCGGTGGCGGGAGTGCACTGCCGGGTCCCAGGGGCTGGTCCGGCACCACCTCTCAGGAGCGCCCTCTGTCGGCGGCTCTGGGTACGGCCCGCGTCTGTGGGCTCGTTCTTAGTATAGGTGTTCTTGGTATAGGTGTTTATTCCCTCTTCGTGCGCAGTCGGCGTGAGGGTGTCTAACACTGTGGTCACCTTTCACCCCCCTAATGTTAAATTCCGCCAGGAATTTCTAATTCTGCTAATTCTGTGCATTGGTATAGAGCTCCTAGGGCTGTAGTTATGTGTGCAAGAGTGTGAGGTTATAGTCTAGGTGCCCAAGGTGGTGTGCCTTGAGTGTGGCATCGTCGTCTATATGCCTGATTGTGGATATTTCACTTTCTGCCCCCACCTGTCCGTGAGCAAGCACCTATGAGCATGGGCTGTACCCCTACATATTGGTGTCTTATTAGTAATATACACACTTTTATCATCTTCCCAGGGCTCTGTCAGTATGAATGAGCAGGGCTGTGTGTGGTGCATGAAGCCATAGCAGGTGATAATGGTATGTTTCTAAAATCCAGATGTTAAAGGAATAATGTAGTGGAGGGGGATGTCAACTATACTAAATCATTTGCCCTTCATCTCATGTTCTTTTACTTAAGGAGAACCATAGGTTTGCTTTTGGACTCTCTGGCAGACAATTGCTTGATCTTGACCTGAACCTGGCCTCCTGTGTGATCTCTCCTTGGCATTCCTTCTCCAGTCTGTGGAGCCCAGGGTGACTGCCTGCTTCAGGCTCTAAGTATATTGACCATGATGTCAGTCCAAAGAAGTGAGCATCCCATCTTCTTCCTTTTTCCCCACCCAAAATTCATTTCCTCGTAGTTGGTTACCTGGGATTTTGATGCCTGTGTTCCCTCAGCATTATTGATACACATGGGGAAAAAAAAAAGGAACTTCTTGAAATTCCCCTAGAAGGCTTTGAGAGTTGTTTTCAATGTTGCAACTTGAACAAGTCAGTTTCTAGTTTAAGTTACCATCGGAAAGCTTGGTAGGAGTCAGATATATAAGCTCCAGTAACAGTAACAGCAGCAGAAGAAGAAACAACAGCTTCAGACCCAGCGAACCCTGCTGCCTAGCCAGAAGCAAGGTAAGAATTTCCTTAGCCCTGACACCCCTCCGGAGAGCCACAGACTCGCAGGCTGGCCAGGCATAGCACCTTCTGAGTGCTCCCCCTGAGCCTGGCATTGTGGAGTGGGGGGATTTCTGGAGGCAGTCCTGGTGACTTACCTGTGGGGACACGAGCGCAAAGTCAGTACTTTGCGGACTGATGTAGAAAGTATTCATTTTAGAAGTCAACTAATAATAATTGTACACCAAGTTCTGTGAATAGAAAGGTTTGTTTTGTCTTATTTTAAAGTGGTATGTACATAAAAGAATGTTTCTCAATATTAATGCCCAACAGTTAAATTGTATAACGTGAGTGGTGCTTTCCTTAGTACTGTAAACTTTTTTAAAAGCTGTTCATTCATTAAGTCAGAATGAATTCAGTAAACAATTGAATTCGTACTTACACCTCATAACTGGAAGGTGTCCAGCATCCTTGCTCCCTATATGTCTTGGGTTCAAAAGTCAATTGGGACAGTCAACCAGAGTAACAGCTGGGTTATCCAGATTTTTTTGGATTAACTAATTTTGCTACTACTTTAAAAATAAAAAGCAACTGCATTGTTTAAAAGTACTTCCTGAAGGGTTTTTAAATCGGTGAAGAGGGGAGAAAAACAAGAAGATTATACGGTACTAGTGCTTTATAGTCGCCCAGGTAAATTGTGTGCAATCATTTTCAGGTTTAAAAAAAAATAACGATCAAGTTAAAATATTTTAACCAAGAGCTTACCAAACCCCACCTGATGGTCCACTTTTTTCAAATAAGGAATTTCAAGATCAATATTTGAAAGAATTTGGACTACCTCTTAGTGTTCATTTTATTGGGGTCTGAGATTTTATGATTTCTTTACATTCATTCATTCTTCTAATAATTAATGAAATCCCTCTATGCTAGAATACTGATGCTAAACTCTGGGGGAGGGTATGTTATGGAATAAGAAAGACATTAACCCTCCCATCAGAGAGCTCAGTGTGGCAGGGAACACAAGCATAAAGAACTATATTACATTGTTACATATGTATGTATGTATTGCAGTTGTATTAAGTGCTATGAATGGGACTCAGGGAGAGCATATAACCAAGCAAGCAAGAGTCCTGACTTCCTCTGGGCACCCTGCCGGATACCTTACCTGAATTCTTTCATTAAGTCCTCACCACAACAGGATGCCCACTTTACAGGTGGAGTGTGAGGCTTAAAGAAGTCAAGAGACTTGCCTAGAGTCCCACAACTCATCAGTGGCAGAGCTGGGCTGCCAGTGCAGGTCTGCCTGGTTCTGGAACTGGGGTCCTTTGAAGACTATGTCTTTTTATTTTTAAATCATAATTCTTTTTAAATTAAAAAGTAACAAACAAGATAAAACTTGGAAAAGGAATGCCCACCCAAGTGTCATGGGCATGCCCATGTTGGCACCAGCATTAGGGAGTGTAACCATACCAGAGGACCTGGGGCCCCTGTGTTCCGTATACAAGGATTTCAAGCATTTAGAAAACCTACAAGATTACATGGAAAAATATTTAATCCTCAAGACTCTCAAATTTAGCGTGCCAGTGAAACATGGGCTGTGGAGTATAGCTGTGGAGTATAGTGAAACATGGGCTATGGAGTATAGCTCTCCAGTATTGGGTATCCACTGATCTGGAGAGTGACAGGGTAACTATGCTGCCCCCTTTTTGGATTCCCTGGGTTCCATGGCTTAAAATGTGGGTGATACTAAAACGCAGGTTGTTTCTTAAAATCATCACCAGGGCTCCCTAGACCCTGAAGTGCATTTGACCTGAAATTCTCAAACACATCTAAGGCCCTAGGAGGAAGTGCTGGACGCAGAGGCAAAGGGAAAACCCCAGCCTTAAGATAGAGCAAAAGAATCACCAGCAGATGCCAGGAATCTCTTATTTCCCTTCCCAGGGTGCCGGCATCTGGGCTTTACAAGCCTGTGTAATTGCAATACCTTCAGGGCATTTCCCTACCGTTGTATACAAAACAGACATATCAAATTTTTCCTTTGTCTCTTCCCCTTGGTGCAAGCTGACATGTTATTGGTCGCCTTCACCAATATGTCATCTCGTTGCATTGTCTCAACAACCCTCTGAGATGGGTATCATGTCCATTTTATAGATGAGGAGACTGAGGCTCCGAGATCATTTGAGCAACATCACACAACTAGCGAGAGGAGGAACCAGATTCAAGGCCACATCGGCTTGACTCCAAGCCTGTGAATGTCCTAACTGATACCCTGTGGCAACCAGTGTGTTGGCACAGTCGTAACCTGGACTGAATTATTAGACGTGCCTGTGAAAGCTGCGGGGACAGGGAGTGGACTCGACAGGGAGGCAGGATCTAGTCCCATCCCTGCCACTCACAGCTTTTGTAATCTAAGGGAATAAAGCGCATGGCAAGGTTCCCCTAGGTTAGCAGCGGTCCTAACAAAGCCGTGATTTGTCAATATTCAATCACCCCAGCCAAGGGATGCTCATTTTTAAGGTATTTGACCAAAATTTTTGAGTCTTATTCTTTGTATGATTTACTCAATGGTCTCTGAGCCCGTGTCCAGCTCAGAGAACACTGGTGCTTTCTGGGACAGATGGAGGTGTTTCAGAATAAAATTAAATAATAATCCTCTCTACCTAATTCAGAAGTAGGGTACAATTTTCACATTCGAATTATTGGCACAAATCCTGGATACTGTTCTAGATTTAGTTTTACTATGAGATGGTGGCTGATGGGGCACAAAGTGATGCATTTCACTTCTCATAGTGGGTATATCAGTATTTTATGGGCTTCTTCCAAAGAATATCTTGATTTTCAGAGCAGCAGGCCCTGAACACAGGTGAAACCAGGAGTTCTCAAAGTGTGGTCCTTGGGGCAGCAATATCAGCCTCACCTGGAAACTCTTAAGAAATGCAGATTCTGAGGCCCCACCTCCCTCTACCTCCTGGCTGGTCTCCCTGACCAGAGATCATAAGTATTTGTTAAATGAAAGTGTTTGGTCCTAAAAGGCAGGATCCAGCCCCAAAATTTACTCCTAATGACTCTAGCCCAACATTACTTGCTTACCCATACTTACTAGGTAAACGGCTATTTTACCTGGTAAGTACCAAGTATATCTTGGCTGAATGTTGACCCAGACAAGTCGTTTTCCTTCTCGGATCCCTGGTTTCTCAGCTTCAAAACAAGAAGACTCTATCGGAGGGTTGGTCTCCTTCAGCTCCAGACAGTCTGGTTCTCTCTTTGGAGATGTCCTTACCCAGAGACTGGCACAGGGCTCCTGTGATTCACGTTGTATCAGTCTGACAGTGCAGACAGGAAAGAGAAAAGTTAAGATTAAAAACAATGTACAGGGGCACCTGGGGGGCTCAGTGGGTTAAGCCTCTGCCTTCGGCTCAGGTCATGATCCCAGGGTCCTGGGATCGAGCCCCACATCAGGTTCCCTGCTCAGCGGGGAGCCTGTTTGTCCCTCTCCCACTCCCCCTGCTTGTGTTCCCTCTCTTGCTGTGTCTCTCTCTGTCAAATAAATAAATAAAATCTTAAAAAAAACACAACAATGCGCATAGAATGGATATGGTTTGCAAAGCAACTGAATAGCTACTGACATCATCTCTTCTATTTTCCCTCCTCTTCTTTCTCTTTCCCTCCTTCTTCTCCTGTTTCTCCCCCTCCTACAGATGCACCCTTGGCAGCTGGTCATCTCCTGGATTTCCCTGGGCTTGCTGGCATCTCCCCTCATGGCTATTTGGGAACTGGAGAAAAATGGTAACCAGGCTCTCCTTCTCTGCAGTGGCCCCGAAACCTAAGCCCGGACTTATCGGGCAGGCCCTGGGGGGAAATCAGACCGAAAGGGGCATCCAGGCCTTGGGGCCTCCTAGTGAGTGCCATCACTGGAAAATGCGGGCCATCTGTAATTCCTTCACCTTTGGGGGCATCCATGTCATTTGGCTTTCATATTAGATTCCAGAATAGGAAATTTTTATAGACTATGTTGGGAAAGGCTATATGGACTTCACGAGTATTACTAAAACCCAACTATATCATACAATGAAAATTCCAAAGTGAAGGATTTGGGAAGATTAAGAACTATGTTCCATCATCCGCCCTCCACCTCACAATATCACTCCTTCTGTAGCACGGAGAGGACTCACCTCTAACCATGCACTTCGGGGGAAGCACATTGATTTGGGCTCAAAGGCTGACTCTGCCACTCTCAGTTAGGTGACCTTGAGCTGGGTCACCTCTAAGGCTAAGTTTCCCCAACTGTGAACTAGGGATTTTAAAGTGACCACCTAATACATGGATGATTGAATGTTAATGAATGCAGGGGACAACTCAACACCTATGAAGGGAGAGTAATGTTAGCCAGATTGTTTTGGTTGTTTAAAATGATGTCTCTGCTGATTCAAGAGAACCTGTTTATAAGCCCAATGATCAAAAAATTACTAGTAGAATAATAGAATAGGTAGGCATTAGGAAAAGGGGTTCCTCTATCCTTCTATTATCTCTCACACAGTAAACAACGTATTAATTGTTGTTAGCTGTTCCTGAAAGATCTTCAAATGTTTCTAATGGAAGCCAACATAATGTTGGCAATTACCGTCTATAATTGTATAATGGTAATGCAAGTTAATATTAATTGAGCACAGTATCTCATTTAATTCTCACAACTGTGTAAAATAGGGACTGTTCATTTCCCATTTTACCGATGTTGTAAATAGAGGCTACTGAGATTAAGTTAACTTCCTCAGTTTAATAGACCTGGGAAGGATAGAACAGGGACGATCCCAATTCTGTCTCACTTCAAAGTCTGTGCATTTAAGTATTTGAAGAAGGTTTTATAAGAGAGACGTAAAGCAACGTTTCCTACGTGCTTGGAGCACAGAAGGAAATAGGCATAAGTTAGAAGTGAAGACATTTCAGCTGACGACCAGAAATAATCTGTGGGTGGTCAGAAGAGTACCACCCTAGAAAATGGATGCTTGAAAAAATTTTTGGCCTATCCCTCCATTCTTAATCATTTTGGGAAGGCAACAATCCAACCATGTTCCCTCTGCCTGAGGAATCTTTGAGAGTTTTAGACCCTCCCTTTAGTAAAGGCAAAAGCCTGAGCCAGATGATTATGCCAAATCCTTTCCAACCCTGGGATTTTCAGTGAGCTCAGGAAGCGTGGCTCTTGCATAGTTAACCCCAAAGTTACTTCTAATTTGGTAAACCACAGAAATTCCAGGAAGTGATTGTGAGGAACTGAGGGCAAACGACTTTGGAGGCAAGATAAGGTGATGAGGCCAGGCACTATGTTCTAGAAGCCCTTCCTCAGGCTCCCTCTTGCAGTTGCTGTCCCCTACCCCTGAGTAAGGGTCTTCTAGGTCTTCTGAGTCTTAGCTGTGACAGGAAAATAGCCTTGCTGTTCAGTTACTGGTAGAACTAGAGAAAGCCAAAGGTGCCACGTGGTTTTATGTCAGCAAAGCTAATCATTTCCAAAGACTTGCTTTTTACCTCATGTCTTTGTTACCCATTCGGTAGCTATAAATCCCTCTAAGGTAAAGTGAGAACTTTATATCCCATAGTGCTTTACCTCTGGATGCCAACAATAAGAGTCACCATTTATAGAGCATGTAAGGGCACTATATTAAGCTGTTGTATGAATTTGATTGTATCATCCATGTCTCGACCTGCTGAAGCAAGCACTAATAATTTGGTCATTTTGAAAATGATGACACCAAAGCTTAGAGGAATTGAATATCTTGCCTGAGGCCACGGGTAAATATAAGATATGGAGCTGAATCTAAACTCAGACCAACATGACTCCAAAATCCAGGCTCTTAACCAGTGTGGCTGGCTCTCCAATTTGAGAGGGCATCAAAATCATCTGGAGAGCATAAATGACAGACCCTCAGGCCCATCCCAGAGTTCCTGATTCGACAACCCAGATTCTGTATTTCCTGCAGTTTCTTAGTGCTGCTGCTGATCAGTGATCAGGCTTGGGGAACCACGGCATTAAATGACTCTAGTTCATTAGTAAGTGATGCACACAGGAATGAAGCTGGAATGTGACGCACTCATTGAAATACTCAACTGGGCCATTCCTCAAGTGCCAGTTTAGATACTCAGGTTAGAGAGCCAATGCCAAGCCAACAAGGCAAAAGGCCTGAGATTTTGCTCTTGTGATTCTAACTTGATGTAAGCTAGTGTAGTTTCTTGGTTTTGGCATGCTCCTCTATGACATGGGAAGACCAGTATCTACTGAACCACTTCATAAGAGAGTAAAATTGCTTAAAAAAATAGAACAGATATCTCCATTGCTGAGTTTTATGTGGTAGGAACTAAATCCTCAAATGCCCATGGAAAGTTCTAGGGCAGTTTCTCTGTGCAGTCATCTGACCAAACATTGTTGTGTGAATAACAATAACCAACACTGAGTTCACAGTGGTAAGCGCCATGCTAAGTGATTTATATATATATTTTTTAATTTAATCCTCATAGCCAAACCTATGACATAGTTGCTATTATTGTCGTTTTACAGATGGGGAAACTGAGGCTCATGGTGATTTATTACCTTGTTCTAAATCCCCTAGCCAGTTAGTGGGGACAGGATCTCAGTGCTGGTCAGTTTTCTTGACATGGCTGTGCCCTGCCATATTCTCCACGAAACTGAATTTGTGCTGGAAGATTCTTGGTAAAGAGTTTTGTGCTATTCACATTTTTCGATTGCATCAAGGCCTTCCCCATCTTGCCAGGGAATCAGGTTAATTATTAAAGACAGGTTGCCAGTTAATGACTCCATAAAACTCTTTGCTTATCTCTTCATGATCTTAAACCCAAGTAGGGTCCAGTGACCTGAGATCAGTCATCTCAGCAAGCATTTGCCTCAGCAAGGCAAGGTCGTGCTCTGCAGTACAAATGCACAGGGGTTCCTAAGACGAAGTCCCAGGGTTCATGGAGTGTACAGTCCAGTTCTCCATTCCCTGTGCTCTCCAGTTTATGTTGTAGAGTTGGATTGGCACCCGGACGCCCCCGGAGAAATGGTGGTCCTCACTTGCCATACCCCTGAAGAAGATGACATCACCTGGACCTCGGACCAGAGCAGTGAAGTCTTAGGCTCCGGTAAAACCCTGACCATCCAAGTCAAAGAATTTGGAGATGCTGGCAGGTATACCTGTCATAAAGGAGGCAAGGTTCTGAGCCATTCGCTCTTGCTGATTCACAAAAAGGAAGATGGAATTTGGTCCACTGATATCTTAAAGGAACAGAAAGGTAATTCCGTTCGCTCAGAGGATGTCAGTTTTCTCTTGTGCTCCATGAGGAATAAATCAAAAAATGTAAAAGGTTAAGACATGACTAACATAGTGAAACAACTAGTATCAAATCCCTTACTGAAACCATCTGTGTTCTTCTTTGGTTTCTTAGACGCTTTGGGTGATCAGCCCTCCCAATCTCATGTTGAGAGATTTTCATGGTGAAGCTGGGTGGTTTTCCTGAAGTTCTTTTTAAATGGCTAATGGGAATTAACTGATGTGTATATCAGCCCTGGGATGGCAGCCTTGAAAACCTGAATACCTCCCTCTGATGTATTAGGTGCATAGTGTACTCTGCAGCATCAGCAACGTATTGAGACATTCTTAGTCCTCGCTGACCTGCCTGTCAGGGAGTTCATCATTTTCCAAGGGAATAAATGGAAGGTCTTCATTTCTGAACCCCTCGGTGGCCTGTGGTTCACCACAACTAAAATCAATCTGAAAGAAAACCTCCAAATATTGAATTTTTTGTTCTCTTCAAATCCAGAATCCAAAAATAAGATCTTTCTAAAATGTGAGGCAAAGAATTATTCTGGACATTTCACCTGCTGGTGGCTGACAGCAATCAGTACTGACTTGAAATTCAGTGTCAAAAGCAGCAGAGGGTAAGTGAAACCAGGTCGATTTCTCAGTATTTTGCCGGAACTATTTCATTAAGAAAGTAAGGGCAACCCTGCCATGGGCTATCAGTTAATGATAAGGGAGAAAACAAAGTCAAGCCTATATTTTTTCAACACCCCTCCTGCCTAAATTGGGGAAAGAACATGGAGATTTAAGCTGATCGCTTGAACAAATGTGTGGGTTAGAACAGGATATTCTTGGGGCCTGAGAATAGCCTCTGCTTATTTGAACCCACTCATGCAGATTGCCAGGCAATGCTTCATTAAGGCTCATAGCACCATGGGGAGGGATAAAAGGAGACATCGAAGCTACGAATCACTTGCCAAAATTGCACCTTGAGATGAAAATAGAAACAAGAGCTCCAGGGCATAGATCTTGAAAGCCCTGAAGCCAACTCCAAAACCCTGAGGCTTCTAGAAATTTTCCCAGAGCTATCTCAACTCCTTTCCTTCTGCCGACACCATTAATCCAAAGTTCATTGTCCGATGCACTTGGACTTCCCCTAAGAAACCAGTTTCCATGGATACTGAACCTATGTTAAGTGGTCTGTGTGCCTTCCTTCACTCACCATCTAGGTTCCTGAACAAGGCGGGGTGACAGAGCAAACCCCAGGTGATCAGCCTGGTCTGGCCACCATTTAACTGAGCACATTAACCTCTAGGGTCTCCCTTTTCCATCTTGAAAATGAAAATGCTTACTAAGGGAACGCTTATACAAATGCGCAGAGACATAAATGCCAGTGCTCGTTGTGATGTTTTTGGTAATCAGCAGAGGAAAAGTTAAAGTGCAGTGCCTTATCCTCTAGCTTAATGTGACACCATCAAAATGGATATCCCAGTCTGTGTGGTCTACCTTGGAGCACTCCCCATATGTTCAGAAGGGGAAGAGATGGTTATAAACCACATACACATATACATAGTTGGATCTTATTTAATGAAAAATAAAATCGTTCTGAGTACGTATAGACCAAATATACGTGTATCCATATGTACATGTGGATATATGATTGCTTTGAATATTCAGAGACAACGGTCTGGAGGGGTACAACAAGCTATGAATAGTGTTTCTATCTGTGGAGTGAGATTAGGGTTAAAAGAGGCACACACATTTCATGTACATGCATTTTTATCTTTTTAATTTTTTTATAATTAACACATATGGATTTTGTCATTACAATGGGGAAAATGCATTTAAAATTGTAATAAGGAAATTTGACCAAGGGCTCTGGATCTAAACATTTCTGGATTCATTTAGGCCAGAGGCGTGGACATGCAAAGCTATCTCTAAATATTTGTACCGCCTCTTGTGGTAAAGCTTGTTTTCCCAAGGAGGGCAGTTTCTTACCCCCTGAGGAGAAATCAAATCCATTGGAGAAATCGTGTCCTCCAACGGCTGTCTGACTCCAGCCGCTGGGAACTGACCACAGATGGGTGACACGGGGTAATGTCTGTCTTTGATTTCAGCCTCTCTGACCCCCAAGGGGTGACGTGTGGAGCAGTGACACTCTCAGCAGAGAGGATCAGAGTGGACAACAGGGATTATAAGAAGTACACGGTGGAGTGTCAGGAGGGCAGTGCCTGCCCTACTGCCGAGGAGAGCCTGCCCATCGAGGTCGTGGTGGGTGCTATTCACAAGCTCAAGTATGAAAACTACACCAGCAGCTTCTTCATCAGGGACATCAGTGAGTTTGCCAAATTATATATGCTTCATAAGGATAAATGCCATTTGTCACATGTCCCCAGTGCCCCATGCACCGAGGTGAGGGGTTTACATTGCATTGTCTCCTTTATTCTGTACCCCCCCAAAGAGTACAATGTGGATACTATTCTCTGCATTTTCAGGAAGAGAAAATTGAGTCTCAGCCAGGTTAAATAATTTGCCCCGGACCTCACAGCTAGCCGCTCAGACCCAGCTCTGTCCCACTGGAAAGAGCAGGCTCTTGGCTATCCTCTGCCTGTTGCCCAGGCAGCTTCCATGGTGAATCCGGGAGGACCCCCTCAAGCATAATATTTATATTCAGAATGAAAGCTTCTCTGCTAATTATAGTTATTCCCAGCCAGTCTTTCTCTAGCATTTGGGGGGGGGGGAATCTTCATTATTGGAATATAAGCCCCTCCAAAATGGACATCTATTTTTTCAATCAGCAGATGGAGACTTTGCCATTTGTCACTTCCTTTGCCATTTAGCCATTGGGTGTTCCTCATGAAATAAAATTCATAGAACCACAGAGCTTGCTCGAGCATTTGTGGAGAAATTACTCTTGGCAGGTAGGAGGAGGTTTGGGTTCACAGAGGATGGCCAGGGAAGGTCTCTCGGAGGTGATATTTGGCTGAGTTCTGAAGAAAAGTTGTCGTTCGTTGTGTTAAGAACAAAGGGAAGAGTATCTGAAAAGCATCTACTAGGAGCCATGGTCCTTGGGCTTTGGACATTCCATAGACTGTCTCCCCTGCCCTCATCTAGACAAAAGCATGCTACCTGAGGACAGAGTCTTTTGTAGTCCTCGCTGCTATATCTTCACACGTAGTCCAGTAGCTGGCACATAGCTGGTGCTCACTCCTCATTTATTGAACAAACGAATGAACAAATGAGCATAGAGACAATCGAGTTTAACTGCCACAAGACAAGTCAGCGCCAGATGTCACGAAAAGACAGCAGAAAGAGCACCAGATGGAAAATCTCTTACCTCATCCCTAGCAAGAGGCTCAGGTCAGGTCCAAGTCTGGTGTCAGGAGGGGTACTGAGCGCAGGGAGGGTGGTCCTTCCCCATCTCGCCCAGATGTGAGACTCTTGTCTCTATGGAATTTCTTCTGAGCATAATGCCGAGATAGTTCCGCAGCCGGGGCTCATCGGCTTGTGCAGGGATGAGAAGGACTCTGAGCCTCTCTCAGGTTCAGCCAGAGAGGAGGGGACAACGGGTGAGAACACCAGCGTGAGCACCAGCAGCTGGGGTTCCTCATGTCTGCCAACCGGGTGCCCAGAGAAGTTAAATAACCGTCCTCCGGACTCACGGCTGGTCAAAGGTGAAAGTGGGATCAGAAGCCAGAGCTACCTTACACCAAAGCCCCCTCAGGCAAATAAAGGGCATGGCTTTATCTTCTTCCACAGTCAAACCGGACCCGCCCAGGAACCTGCAGCTGAAGCCCTTACAAAATTCTCGGCATGTGGAGGTCAGCTGGGATTACCCCGACACCTGGAGTACCCCGCATTCCTACTTCTCCCTGACATTCTGCGTACAGGGCCAGGGCAAGAACAATAGGGACAAGGTAAGCTGTGACTCCAGGGCCACATAGTCAGGTTTGTGGAGGTTTATGGAGGCCCACTTAGCACTTTCTCCGGGCCCAAGACGGCTTCAAGGGTTTCACATGGATATCTCACTTAATCCTTCACGTAACCCTACAAAGGCAGATGGTATTATTACCAACACTGCACCAGGGAAGACAGTGAAGCTCAGGCAGGTTAAATGACATCCCCAGAGTTACACCTGCTGGGAAGGCTCAGAACCAGGAAACAAGTCTGGTGGGCACAGATCCCATGTACCTAACCACGCTCCCTCCTCCAGTATGGACGGTCATTAATTCTTGTGCTCAGACTTGGTCCTCATGTAGGAAATCTGAGCTCCAGGAACCTCAAATCATTGTTGTTTCAATTTAGTGAGTATAATGAATGCTAGAACATGCATGAGATGTCTCACCCCAAACGGGTAATTCCCAACCTATCGTGAAGCGATTTTGAGCAGAATGTTAGAGCTTACATAGGCTAAGACAGTGGCTTTCAAACTTTCCTGCATTGACATCCTAATCCCAAGGTCCAGAAGGCACTTTTACAAAGTCCACCCCTCCTGGGATCCCGGTTTTAGAAACCACTGGATAAAGGCCTTATTCAGGATAGTGTTCACATTTGGTAGAAATTCAGTCATTTAGTCACTCCCTGAGAATTATTTTTTTGTATGGGGATGGGCTATTCTGGAATAGGTTTTACCTAAATATTATTTAAAATCTTGATGTGTATCTTCCCTACATAAGATTTATATCATTAATAGATAATATTGACTGAACACTTTCTACTGATTAAAGACTTCGCTGAGGGTTTTACATGAGGATTACCTTTAACTTTTACATATCTGTGAGATAGGAATAATTCCTATCCCTCTTTTATAAAGGATGAAACTGAGACACAGAGCCCAAATCATCTTCCTGTGATCACACAGCTAAAAGTTAGCAATGCCTGGATTTCAGCACGTTTTCTGATAAAAGGATCAGGATATAGTATTTCAGAATATCCAGGGGGACAGCTAGAGCATATATGCCTCTGTCCCACCATTGGCCTAGTACAGGGGTGAGTGTGCACGGGGCCTTCAGGCAAGGCAGCTATTCTAGAAAGATGAAACCTGGACCAAACCACCTCTCCCTCTGCGCTGAAGTAGAAAAGCTGCACCTGTATTTAGAGCTTCTACCGGTAGGTGGCGCAAGTTCTACACACTCCACTGTTCATTGCACCTGTGGTGCCCAAAAACCAAGGTGTGCTTGTTTGGGGAGATCAAGCTTTGCAGAAATACACCCAGCCCATCTTGTGACTGCATTGCCAAAGACTTCTCTCTCCTTTGCAGAAAGAGAGACTTTGCGTGGACAAGACCTCAGCCAAGGTCACGTGCCATAAGGATGCCAAGATCCGCGTGCAAGCTCGAGACCGCTACTATAGCTCATCCTGGAGCAACTGGGCATCTGTGTCCTGCAGTTAGGTGAGCAGGCCCACAAAGGCCAGCCCACACCTGCACACTCAGTGTCCCCGGGTGCAGGGCAATGGTCGGGGGGCAGGGTGGGAGAAGAAAGGGGATAGGGGGCCTGGCACACAGTCACCAGAGTCAGAAAGATACATTTGTTCATTAAACAGATACTATTTGATGCTCAGAGTGTTCTGGGCACTATGCTGGGTACAGAGATACTGTGGTAAAGAAAACGGGTGTGGGTCCTGCCTTCCTGGAGAAGGCAAACAAGAGAGAGAGAGGGTAAAAGTGGTTAAGAGTCAGAGCAAGAATAGCTTGCAAGCTGTCTTCAGGAGTTAGACCCTTATCCTGGGCACCCTTGGTGGGGGGACACCAAAGGCAAACGAATCCTAGACCACATAAGGACAGGCTGGGCCCTTCCAACTTGGAGTCCTAAACCCAATTGCCCCAGTCATGTGTTGTGTGAAATAAGAAGGCTTTGCTGCCACATTTCTAATTCACAGAAACTGTTGGTGTTCTTTTTCAGGTTCCAACCCAGGATGAAACCTTAAAGGGAAAGTGGAAGTTATTATGCAACATTTTCTAAAAACTCAATAGAATAGGCCCCCAAAAGTTATTTTCTACCTAATTTGCTTTTTGTAAAGGATCGTGGTCATGTCTTTGCAGTATTTTTACATTTACATGCCAAATGGCCGCTGAAATAATCAGCTCCTTTATTTATAGGTTTTCCAGTGACCAGGTTGCCACTGACCTTAATGCTATTTAAATATTTAAGTAATTTATGTATTTATTAATTTATTATTTTTATTGAACACTTGTGTGCCAAGATGTATGTTTTCTACTCTCAGGACCTGATCTGTAAGGAAGAGGCCCTGTTATGCGAAATGTGAAATTATGTGTTATTTTATACTGACAGCTTCTCAAGCAAGACTACAAGTACTTCTGTTTTATGACAACCAGTGAGAGCACAATGCTCTGATGCCAGCACCATGATATATTTGTGATGGATGAGAACACAGAAGTAGTTAAATAGAGGCATGGAGACACGGATTCATCTGAGAAGGTTCTGGAGATGGAGATGTTAGTTTCTGTATCCATGAAGACTTCCTGGAGCTGGTGTTGATAAAGCAGTGCAGGGCCACCTGCCCTTCTAAGCAGGTTTAGTTTTTGGATGGCTGAATTTAGAAAGGGCTGAAAAAATAGCGGAAGTCAAAATTCAGCTTCCGCCACAGGGGCAGTCCTTAACCCCATCCATCTGTAAGACTTAGAAGAGGGACCCAGAAACATTTTAAGTGTCTGGAAAGTAAAAAGTTCTTAGGATTCAGGAAGGAGAACCAGTAAGGCCAACCACATAAAATTGTCAGATTCACCAGCTGCTCCTTAATAGCCACGCAGGAAAGCACACAGCTGCAAAGAAAATGATCACGAATTGCTTACTTGTCAGAGTGAGAGAAGCTGACCAGTGGATGTGACCAGAAGGTGCCCAGCACTAAGGTGCTACTTTTAGTAATTTAAGTAATGAATGTGCCTTCTGTAAAATGATTTCATTTGTTTTCTGTTTACTTGTGTTTACATTCTGACGATGAACCAATAAAAATAGAACTCTTCTTTGCAATGATATTTTGGGCTTTCTCAGCTGACTTGAGGATCCTGTTCCCACATTGACTGGGACTGCATTATTTTTCCCCTGCCATTTCAGAACTACCCTCCTGTGAAGCAATTTCACTTCCAGTTCCGCAGAGCTGCCCTTTCCCTTTATAGGATTCCCAAAGTCAGAGTCTCGCTGAGCTCAGGGGAATGTCCCCGTGGTCCACACGGGCACCGAACTGCCCTATGCTCTCTTTAGAGTTTGGATGCTCTCGCTTCATTCCCCTTCTAGCCTGGAATTGACTCTATTAGTTCCAAAGCATCATGAAATAAAACTCCAACCTGGTAGAGTCATGAGCATCCCCCCAGAGGGCCAGATCTGGTGTTCATAGAGGGTTCGTCATGTGTCTGGATATGTGCTAGCCCTTGAGGTTGAGGAGTTCCAGAAAACCTCACATTGCCTTCCCCCAAACAGTGCCCACTCCTGGCACAGTTAGAAGATAGGGATGAAAAGTTAACTTCAGTACCATGAAATGCTAAAATGTTCAGTTTATGGTACCCTGGGTAAAAAAAAAGAGAACAATCAGTGTAACCTGGAGTTGCCCAGGAGGGCTCAATGGAGAAAGGGGGGGTGCAAAGAAAGGGCAGAGCCTGACAACTCCTCTTTGGTGACTCCAATGGAAAGAGCAAGTTGGGGGGATCCAAGAGAATGGCGCCCATTCTCTACGATCTTCGATGGCGAAGTGTACATACCTGGGCTATTCCTAAGGTAATTGTAAATAGGGATGTTGTACGTGTCCTTATTTGAAGTGTTTCCTGGAGCCCTTATTCTACTCTGCTTCTGACCTGGAGGAATGGTGGAAAGGTTGTCATCCTAATACGACTTTTGAAACCCATCATCTCGTATTATGAGCCCACACTTGATAGCACATGGTTGGTTAATAACAACTCTTTGTCCTCCCACAGGGCCTTTCATCTAGAGATACCCAAACACTTAATGGGCAGTTAATGAACAACGCTAACCGAGAAAAAAAATAATTAATCACATATATAAGTACAGAGATCGGGGACCTTTCCCAAAACTTCCGGCCAGCATGGGGCAGACCTCAGATGTCTGGCTCCCACCTGACATGACCTCTTAGCATTCAAGTAATTTTAATTTCAGCACATGCACTGAAGAGTTTTTGTCTTTGAAAGATATTCTTCAGGACAGTCCTATTCTATGGGGTGTCTATTCCCTACAAATGTATCAAATGTTCTAGCAAAAAGCTCAGGACTAGGAACCAGGAGACTGGGCCTGGGCCTGGCCAGCCCTGCTACATGTCTGTGTGACCTTCAACAGGACACTGGGCACAACCTTCTGGCTGTCCCATCACTGCTCACTCTGAACTTCTTCCTCTCCTAGTGGCCCTCCCGAGGTCTAGGTTTGGGAAGCTAAGTAATCACTTTTCTAGCCACGCTGGCTTCTCAGCAAGGCCACAAGACCTAGTTTCAGCCCATGATACGTAAGAAAATTTGGCTGGCGTTCTCCTGAGAAAAGATAGAGCCAGGGCAAACATTACCCATTCCCTCCTTCCTCTCTTGAGCAGATGAAATTTAAGAAGTCTCAGAGGAAACCCCTGCAATCAGAATGGAAACCACCAGGCTGAGACTATAAAGATAAAAAGACTCAGACCCTAGCAACATCAAGAAGTTGAACTGACCCCTGTAACTACCTACCCCAAACATCTTGTGTTAGAAAGAGAGACCTATGTGTGTGTTTTTTAATATTCCGGTAGAATACACATAAGAGAAAATGTACCATTTTAGCCATCTTTAGGTGTCACATTCAGTGGCATCTGCTATATTCAAATTGTTCTGCGACCTGTCACCACCAGCTATCTCCAGAATGTTCTCTTCTTCCCAAGCAAACTCTGTACCCATTAAGCAATCACTCCTTCCATGTTTGTTTCCAAATCAGAAAATGAATAAACTGAAAATTAAATAAAGATATTCTCTTCAACATCTAGTTCTCACTTAGGAGAGGCACCTGACCATGTCTGAAAAAGAAGTCAGGCCAGCCCTGGTGGGAACTGACATTAGAACACCTGAGTCTACCACTTACGGAGCATCTGATCTACCCCTTGGGACACCCTGGAGCCATATCCAGTGATGCCAAGTGGGGTCCTGGCGATACCCTGCCAGCCTGAAGAGAGGTAACCATGGTCAGGAAGCCTGTGCCAAGGGCAGCTTGAGCATGAGCAGGACTAAGCTGGGGTTGGTAGTGGTGTTCGGGCAAGTAGCTCCCACAGGAAAGACACCTCTGTTTTTCCTTCATTCACTCAACAATGTTTTTCTGAGTCACCCGCTTCCCTGGCACCGTCCTCAACTTTCCAGATACAAGGCTAAACAAGACCCTGCTCTCTCATGGCTTCCAGTCTCCAAGGGATTAAGTGCTTAAAATTCTAGACACTGAAGGTCACTTCTTGAGAGTTAAGAGCTCTATAAAATGAGATAATCCGTTTAATGGGGCTACCTGGCCCATAGGAATCACTCAGTAAGTGGTGGCTATTTCCATGGACTGGCTCTGTGATCTTGAGCAAGTTCCTTAACCTCTTCAAGCCCCAGTTTTCTCATCTGTAAAATGGGATAATAACAGCAACCAGTTCACAGAGTGGTTGCAAGGATTAATGGAATAACCCTTAGAAAGTTCTTATAAAAATCCCTAATCCATAATAAGTACTCAATAAAAGCCTATCGCTAATATTCTTATTATATTACCTATAACCCGAAAAAAGAGTAATTCAGGAACCTATGCTTTTGTGGGGGTAGGGACATGGAGGGAACATAGTTAGGAGGTGGTGACGAGTCTCAGAAGGTGGACTGGGATGGAGGAAGCATTAGTCGGTCAATGAAGATCAGTCAAGCTCTTCAGTGTAAAATCCCTTTCTTATAAATAAAATTGCAGAAACATCCCCACATGGGGAATACCAAGATGCAATGAGCCCAATTCCTGCCTTCAGGGATTTTTGGGTCTAAAAGGGGCAAACATGGTGAATACATATTTTAAAATATAGCTAGGCTGGGATAAGGGTATGTGCATCCTAAAAATTTCTTTTTACAAAGGTTTTCAGCTCCCAGGAAGAGCTTTTTCATTTCCTTTAGCCTTCCTGGATGCAATAATTTGACATAAACCTACCAATTCACCTTACCCATAAATCAGATTTTAATCATCTCTTTCCATTTCATTGCAGTATGGCCCCTCTTCTAGGACAGCATTTGTGAGCAAAATGCATGTGGACAAGACTTTCTCCATAGGGCCATATTATAACCAAGGAAATGAATTTCCTCTCTCAAGCTCATAAAATGCAAAAATAAAATCAGCATTTGGGCTGAGGGCAGAGGAAACCAGGCTCGCATACTGAAAACCCTCCTTCTGCAGGAAGCGAGCTTGGCAGAGCTGATTTGCATTTACCTTCACGGAGGTCTGGGTTCGCAGGTGCGCAGGGCATCCTGGCAGCCGGCCACCGGGGTCCTGTGCAGCCCCTCCACCCAGGGGCAGGTGTGTGACCCGCTGCAGGACTCTGCAGCTGCTCATTAATCTCCTGGCCTCTTTCATAAGGAACATAAACCATGTCTCCCCTGTCCTTTGCCCCAGCTCACCAGGAGGCTTCCCTGGTTCTTTGCAAAAAGGGCCATCGCTAACCCCAGCATGTGGTGGGGGGGGGGGTTCCAGAGAGCAGAATATTCTGCCAGTGACCCTGGGGTTTGGAGGAAAGGATAAATTGGGGAGCAAATCTTGGACAAACCATGATGTCCAGTCCACTTCCTCCTTTCCACACCCACCACCCAACAAGCACACAACGAACACTGATGGAATGGGGGCTACAGTGCCTGGAAGGATCCAGAATGCAGGGGGTGTGTGTGTGCACCTGGCCCTGGGCAAGAAGACCTCGGCTCAAATCCCTGCTGTCCACTTACCAGCTCTGCGCCCTTAAGTTATTCCTTAATCTCTCCATGCTTCAGTCCCCCCACCCCCAAAACAAGTATGTTAGTAGTGCTGCCACCTCCCTGGGGATGGTGTGAGAATGTAAGGAAACCAGGCTCCCAGCACCCAGCACCTGGCAAGACCTCAAAAGTCAGTTGCAGTTTCTGTGTTTATAAAGTCACGCCAAAAAGGAGAAGCAGTGCTAATCCCACCGCTTCCTCCCTCTGCGTGGAGATGAGTGCTGGTTCAGGACATGTACAAAAGCTTTCCAGCCCTGACTTG